ATACTGCAATTGTTTTCTTTAAAAATACTGAATTTTCTGAATTCTGCAAGCATACTTCTACAAGCATACTTTGATATTTTAAGGAGGCTGGAGCTTGAGATAAGATTGTGTAGTTAGTTGCCTGTTGCAGGATGCTAATAATACTTTATTTTAAAAGTAATTTAAAAGTAATTAAAATATTCTACATCACTTTTGGGTGGCTTTAGAAGAAAAGAAAATACAATTCAAAGCAATAACAGAATTAAGCCAAACTTTTAAAACCAACATTAAAATAATGTCAAAACCCAGCCAGAATAAAAATGTTTTTACCCTCGTTCCAAAACAAAACTCACCAGGGCTGGGGGCAGGTCTAACCTCCCCAGGTCTAACCTCCCTCCATAATCAGGGTGCTGCCACCAACAAGGCACTGTCCTATGTTTTCACCAACCTTCTAGTGGTGGGTTTAGCTTTTCCCATAAAAAGCCAGCAGATGAGCTCCACCAAGTGTCTGTGGTGAGTGACTGTAGGGGTGCAACTGAAACACAAAAAGAACAGCTCTGATTGAAGAGGATAACTAGTAAGAGTCTAAAACTTTTTAGAGGTTTTCTAACCTGGTGCTCTTCCAAGTGTTAATGGACTACAACTCCCATCATCCCCAACCACTGGCCATGCTGTCTGGGGCTGATGGAAGTTGGAATCATGCAACATCAGGAGGGTCTGAGATTACCCATCCCTGCTGTAAGAATTCTGCCAGGAACCATTCATAGCCCTTTAATTAGATATGTCCTCCTGCAGTTGGTGTGTTTGGGTAAGTGGAGCACAAACAGTAATGGAGCATGGAATGTGGTGTGCTTTTTCCTTAAGTGATTTCCTGTAGCAGGTCATGGATTGATTTATTTTTAATGATAGCCCACTTTTCCTCCATTCTTGATCTCAGATCAGCTAACAACAAGACATTTAAAATAATACCCTGTCAATAAACCAGACCCATAATCAGACAGCAATATATAATCAATCTCGGCGGAACGATAGCTAGAAAAACATCTGTCTTCTCCTAAAAAACCACATTTAGCCAGCTGGTGGAATGCATATAAAGATGGGACTGGACAGATCTCAGCAAAGACATTTCAATGCATTGGTGCCATGACTGAAAAGACCCTGCTTCTTTTACCCACCCACCCCATCTCAGTTGTGGCTTCTGATGTCAACCAGAAAACACTGGAGGGAACATGCAGAGAAAGGCAGCTCTGCAGTACCTAGGCCTTGTAAGCTATTTAAACCTTAAGGTAAGAAGTAGTAGCTTTAAAACTGGAAGCAGTTGCAGATCAACAATCACCAGAACAATATGCTCCATCTGGCCTTCATCAGGACGTTGTGAAAATGTGAAGAACTACTCGTCTGGACGGACCCTTTGGCTTTTTAGTGGAACAAAATGTGCTGATGTGCATATATTTTGTTTCACTTCTGGCCTGAAGAGTGGGAAAGACCTGCTGATGTTGTGAGGCTGCTTCCAAGCTGAAGGCTTTTGAGATTATCAGGTGTGTCTCAGGAGTCTCGTGTTTGATTATACTTGCAATACAGATGGGAATGGCGCTGATGGCTGCTAGCCCAAAAAAATGAACTGATCGGGATCTGCTCAGGTGACATGGCAACCGTGGGGCTTCAATAATTTCAGTTATGTCAGCCCCTATGCTATACTTCCTAGATGTATCCTGCGTGGTAGTACTAGTACTAGTATTAGTATTAGTAGTAGTACTACTTCTGGAAATGCTCCTTCTCTCTCTTCAAAATGTGGATGCTAAAAGTTACCTCCATCTGCTTCAGGCTTCTCCCTATGCTTTCCACCCCCCTTTAACATCAGAACTTGTGCTCAGTTTCTTCTGTTCCCAACCCCTCCCCCCTTCTCTGAAGTCACACTTTTCAATTTTGTTTGGATCAGCAGAACTGGTTGCCTTGGAAATTTTTATATATACATTAAGCTATGTCTGCCAAACTATATTCTAATGGAACAAGAAAACCAGCTGTTGGATCCTTATATATGGAGTCTGGCTCTGGTTCACGAAAAAGGGAATAATAAACTCAAGCTGGACCTGCCATTTCAGCCCCTCCCAAGAATTATGCAGAGGGCTGCCCCAGAGGGGGAGGAATTAGTGTCCCAGGAACTGACCTTCTGTTCTTCCAACCTTTCAAAGCTATTTTGATCAAGAAAAATGAAAATGATTGCATCACAGACCTAATAGTTTTAATGGTAACACCTTCTCCCCAGAAAACTATAAGCTAGACCAGTGGTTCCCAAATAGCAAAGTACTGTGGGCCCCTTGTTTTTCAAAAGCCAAGCAATGGACTCCCTACTTTTGAAAATGTTTTTGTTATGTGAATGGTGCCACGGACCCCCAATTGGGAACCACTGAGCTAGGCTATTCTCTCCAAGGCCCCCAAATCTGACAGCCTTGTTTGCAAATGACCAATTGGTGTTGCCTTCAGCATTCTCGGCTGGGCTGATATTTTAGCAGTAGGACCTTTCATTCCTTTTCAAAATTTTATTTTTTCACCACCACAGGTGGCGGCAGCAGACCTTCCCTCTTGACCCAGACGCCATGATTGTTAGCATAGAGTCCAGCAAATTGAAGGAATTGGGCTTGGAGACAACCTTGGTAGTTTGGAAGACCCTTCTCAAAATGCGCGGCCAGCCTCCCAAATCCCCAACTTCCTCTGCCAGCACAGATCAAAATTCAAGGGTGAAGTCCAGCTGACTTAACTGCCTCCTGCAAGTGTGCCACAGCTTTCTCCAGGATCAAAAGGGGAGGGGTGCCATAATATTTTTTAAGTGAAGGGATATGTTGTACTATAGGGACGCAGGTGGCGCTGTGGGTTAAACCACAGAGCTTAGGACATGCCGATCAGAAGGTTGGTGGTTTGAATCCCCACGATGGGGTGAGCTCCCGTTGCTCGGTCCCTGCTCCTGCCAACCTAGCAGTTTGAAAGCACGTCAAAGTGCAAGTAGATAAATAGGTACCGCTCCGGCGGGAAGGTAAATGGCGTTTCCGTGTGCTGCTCTGGTTCACCAAAAGCGGCTTAGTCATGCTGGCCACATGACCCGGAAGCTGTACGCCGGCTCCCTCGGCCAATAAAGCGAGATGAGCGCTGCAACCCCAGAGTTGGTCACAACTGGATCTAATGATCAGGGGTCCCTTTACCTTTACCTTTTATGTTGTACTATGGGAGGGGAGTGCTTTCAGGTCCAGGGCAGTTGTAATAGCCAGTTGAAGAACTGCACGTTCTGTAATACTCTGTGCTACTGTATTATAGCAGGCAGGAAGTGAGGACATGGCAGGCATCTGTGGTGGTCTTGGAAAGGCTCATAGGTGCTAGGTGCTGCTATCAGCACTGCATTCTGGATAACCTGCATTGTGGATGCAGCAGCCAAAACAGGAGCATAAGGCAGGCATAGGCAAACTCCGGCCCTCCAGATGTTTGGGACAATTCCCATCATCCCTAGCTAACAGGACCAGTGGTCAGGGATGATGGGAATTGTAGTCCCAAACATCTGGAGGGCCAGAGTTTGCCCATGCCTGACATAAGGCAGTTGGGGTGGTGACTGTGGGCCCAATTAAGGAAGTTGTTTTCTCCAAACCATGCCCACATATGACTATTATGTATGACATCAGGTCTCGTTTGAAGTCAAATCAATCCAGGTTTGCACTTTCAGAAACAACCTGTGAACCGAAATGCAGTTAGCCTTTGAAATTTGCACCTATCTGAATTTTGCTATTCAGTTCACCAACCAAACAGTATTTTAAAAATAAAAATGCATATATTAGTGGAAAGTGTGTGTAAAAATGAATATATTGATGAAAATAGCACACAAGAATGCACGAGGTTAGGAAAAAATGCTTGCAAAAATATGCACATTAGTAAAAAAAAATGCATATAAAAATGCGTATAATAGGAGAAATCCGCACCAAAATGCTGATGATTTTTTATATTAAAAATCCTCAATTGCTGCAGAATGGGGAGAACTGGTTTTAAGACTGGGAAAATGGGAAATGGAGAGAACCACAATTGAGAGCGCCTTCCATCTTTGTAGCAGAATGAGGTGGGAATGAAGTGGCAAGTTCTAAAGCAGTCTTTGACAGCTTGGTGCCCTCCAGATATTTTTGACTCTATCTCCCAACAGCTACAGCCAGCATGGTTCTGGGGGCTAAGCTTGATGAAAGCGCTAGTTCAGAACAACTGGAAGGCACCAGGCTGATGAAGATGGTTCTGAGAATGAGTTATGTCACTCCAGACTACAGGTCGAAGAACCACTTTTTACAACAGATCTTTGAATAACCAACTCCCTGCAAATAAAAAACTAGCACATAAAGGAACTTGAACTTATACCCTGACAGGCTACCTTTTTATTGGCAAGAAGTTTTTGTTTCTTTTAAACTTCCACATGTTGATGCATTCAAAAATTGTACTTTCCATGAAGTGATGTAGGGTTGGGACAGGAGAGTCCATTCTAGCAGCTCAGATTTACCGTTCTGCTGTATTTATATGCTAAGTCTCCAATGTATTCCTATGGGAGTTTGAAAATTCACATCTGCAATGCAGGACTGTGAAGATTCCTATTCTGCTTCTATATGTGCTCCTCGGCATCCTCAAAAGTCATGCAACGAAAACCTCCCCACAGAGGTGTGTCTGGCATCTTCATTACACATGTTTTGGCAAATGCTGAAAACACACCCCTTTATCCTGGCTTTTGACCCTTGAGATGCATATTTTTAGGACCCACCTTGTTTCTGTGCTTGTCAGCTGTTTCAAGCTGTTTTCAATTATTGTAACCTACCCTGGGACATTTGGGTGAAGGCTGGGCAATAAATTATAACAATAAAATAACAACAATAATTATCAATAAAAAGACTAGCTACCCTCAAAGCGACCTTCAAGAGAAGTTCCCTGACCTGCTGCTGGATCCCACTTAGGCTGAATAAAGTTCCAGCTGTTTATTTAAAAACCACAGGAGACGCCTTCTCTTAAATGCTTTGATTTACTCAGACCTTCCTCCTTAAAACTCCACCAAATATTACAGTAAAATAACTATGGGGAACTTAAATCTCACTTTGACACCCACCAAATGAAATATTAACATAGAGAACATTAAAATGTTGTTGTTGTTGGCGGCATCCATCTGTCTCAAGAGACAATGGAATGCACTTCCGGGGGTGAAGTCAAACCACTGAAAAATCATAGCAGCACTGGAGTGACCACCTGAGGGTGTGTGGAGGTCCAAAGGGAAAGCAGAGCAATACGTTTGGCACCAGCTTGGCTGCAGGAGTTGCCAGAAGGAGGCATACAAGGCACCATCCAATCGTCTTAGAGAACCTGCTCCAGATTTGTGCAGGGTTTACACCAGGGGTCAGCAACCTTTTTCAGCCATGGTCCCTCAGACCATGTGGTGGGCCGGATTATATTTTGGGGGGGGGGGGATGAACGAATTCCTATGCCCCACAAATAACCCAGAGGTGCATTTTAAATAAAAGGACACATTCTACTCATGTAAAAGCATGCTGATTCCCGGACCATCTGCGGGCCGGATTTAGAAGGTGATTGGGCTGGATCCGGCCCCCGGGCCTTAGATTGCCTACTCCTGGTTTACACCTTGGTCTTTTCTTCTCCCGGAGATATCCCGCAAAGCAGCAGAGGTTTAGGATCAGAGTTTTCCTTCTCCAAAATTCACGTTGTGGTTACTGTAATGCACTCTATCTGGAGCTTCCCTTATACTTGATCCTGAAGCTGCAGTTAGTACAGGGCAGGGCGGTTGTTCACAGGAGTGTGACCTTTTCTGCATATATCACCTCTGCTCAGAGATCTGCACTGCTTGCCCATTTGCCAAATTGTCGGAATATTCTGCACGGTTCAAGCTGTTGCCTCTCCGAAAAGGATATTGTAGGACAGGGAAAGGTATAGATGAGGGCCGCCAAAGTGATCCAGCAGCTGGAGCAGCTCTCCAGCAAGGAAAGGTTACAATTTTTGGCACAATTTAGTTTAGAGAAAAGTGGGGACAATTTAGAGGTGTATGAATTCATGCAAGGCTATTGTTTGCATGTCCTGTTTGTAGACTTTGCAGAACAATCTGATTGGTCATTTTGGGTAACAGGATGCTGGACTAGGTAGGCCCTTGGCCTGACTCGGCAGGGCTTTCCCCCCCTACCTTCCTCCACATGGTCATAGTCATACAATTCCATTGTGCATTGTTCTAGCTCTGTGCTGAGATTCCCACCCTTCAGTCTGCATTGTTTTGTAGAACTCCCCAAACCTGCCTGTCACATTGGAAAGCCGAGAGGAAACTCAGTGTGTTGAGTTCAGCAAAACCTGCGGCCAGAACAGGGTGGGAAATTCACCATAGGGATGCTGGATTCCATGTCAAGAATAGCTTCACGCTTGGAAGCGAAGTGGAACCAGGACCATTTCTCCTCTGCCTCCACCAAAGCAAATTTCTCTCTCCTCCTGACCAAATAGATGACACACCATTCCTTGCGGCAAAGGGCTCGCTCCAAGATGTCTTAGAGGGGTGGGCCTCAGAATTTGTTAGTCAAGGCTGCCTCTTGCTTTTGCTCGACTGTTTTGGATGGCAGCGCAGAAGCACTGGCAGCTCCTTTGAAGAAGAAGAAAACATTGCCTCAGTTTTGTACTGTAACCTTCCCTAACCGCACTCTCTTGTACGTAAACTCTCTCTGCTCTTCCTGCTTAGCAACTGCTGCTGCTAAAGTAGCCTGTGGAGCTCAGCTGGATAAGAAGGGACTGTCTATCACAGCACTAGAGGGATCTGCTGGCAAGCAGCTGTTGGTCTCTGTTAAGTAACAAGCTTTCCAGATGTTTGCATTGGCTCTGGCCAAGCACAGCTGTTAAACTGGGCATGACTTTATCCTCACAGCAGGGAGGAGTTCTGCATATTTACTGTACCTTCCTCTTAGCAGGGTTGTAAGGGAGAGAGGGGGCTTTGTACCTCAGCTCTGCTACTGGCCTCTGAAGCCATCCTGCACCTTACGCCAAATGAGGTGGTAGGCTGTGAGAGTCCTGGATGGCGGCCCTCTCCCTGACGTGCTAGATTACGACATCTGGGAAGCATTTTTTTACGCTCCTCCACATAAAATCCTCACGGAGGATTTCAGAAACAACTGCCCTGTGAGGAAGAGCAGCAAACAATCTGCTCAGGGAGTGGGAAGTGGTGGAGTCCGCTGCCCACCGCACCAGGTCTGACTCTAGTGACAGGAGTGATAAGAAGCTGGCAGGCTCCATCTGGTCACCCAGAAGGCCAAAGCCTCACCCTATGAAGTCAGCAAATTCTGGCTGACCAGGAAGGTTGAGTCACTAGACTATTTCTCTGGGGTCTGACAGGCCTGCCTTTTGAACTCCAAGAAGCCCTTTTTCATCCTAGCTGGCTGTTATAAGATCTTTTGTAACATTAAGAATGTTGTGCCTTGCTTTGCTTGCTTTTCCTCTTCCCTCCTCATCCCCTTGGCAGAGGGGCAAATGGCAGAGACGGTGCCATTTTTGTTGACATAAACCACTCTGGGAGCATTTCTGGCTGAAGAACAGGCTATAAATGCAGTTAATAAATAAGTAAATCTTTTAAAAACATTTTTTGTAGTTAACTAGCTCATCAGAGTGAGGACAGCACTAATTTTGATTTGCTGGTGTACTAGTTTATTGCAAACCAAGAGTTGGAGCCTTAAAAAAATGTAATCTCCAACTTGCAGTCTAGAGTGTCTGCCCCATAATTTTAGCTCTTCATCCTGCTTAATGTTTAAAGCTCCCTGGCTTAAAAATGTTTTGCCACACCTAAAAGAGCCAACTGAACACCAATGTTTTGCTACTTTAAATTTATTTATTTAAATTTATTTATATAAATGAATATACAGTAATCTGTAAGATTGGGAAGCATCTTGAGCTGTCTGTGGTTCAACCGTTTCGGCAGTAAAGCAGGTTAAGCGATGCTGCAATATTTTCACTATGGATATTGCAGACAGATTTGCCTTGGACTGGCATTTGCAAAGGCACCTAAAGTGGTCCAGTGTTCTCCAAATAGCCAGAAATGATTGCGATTGTGCCTTACAGATGCCTTGAACCACCCAGAGGTCTCTAAACAAGTGTGCTGCTGCTGGAGACACTAGCTTATTAGGAAGGGTACATGTGAAAACCATTTATAACTGAAGCCGGAAAAGCTACCTTGAAGACTGACTCCCATTTTTCCTTCTGATGATAACAGCTCCCTCGCCTTGGGCTGAGCTCCAGGCCTTCCTATTGCTAGGCTGACCAAATTCCAGTGGGAAGCACTCCTGCGGTTGGCCTGTATGAGAAGCCGTTCTGCGTGATGGTGATGTCCTGCTTTGTCCTAATTTCAGAGCTGGGATCCAGAGCTGGAAGCCTTTGCCAAGGACTACGCAACAAAATGCATCTGGGAACACAATGCGGAGCGTGGACGGCGAGGCGAGAACCTCTTTGCCATGTCTGGCGACCTGGATGTGAAGATGGCGGTAGATGAGTGGTACAACGAGTATGCCTTTTATAATATGACAACATTAACCTGCCAAGAAGGGCAGATGTGTGGTCACTATACACAGGTATCTGATTATATCAGTGGTTTTCAACCAGTGTGCCATAACACCCCGGGGTGCCTTGAATGATGGCCAGGGGTGCCGTGGGCAATACAGAGGGCCTCTGTCCCTCTTTCCTTCCTTCCTTCCTTCCCTCCTCTGATGCCCTCTCAGGTCTCTGCCTCCCAAAAGCTTGCACAGCTGTTTGTTGCAGCAGCCCTGGCTACAAGCTCCGCGGGCAAATGGTGCCTCTGGGGCTGGCCAGGGGGTGCTGGTTGCCAGGAGCTGAGGCAGCCTTGGAGTAAGCAAGCAAGCAGACAAGGGAGCCCAGCCCTTGCTGTTGGGAATGGACAGACAAGTCCCAGGTCCCTGTGGGGCAGTGTGTTTTTCTTTTTCCTTTCCTTCTTTTTTGTATTTTATTCTATTTTGAATAATGAATGGAATAGATGTAATATTTAATAAAATTAACGAAGATGGGGGTGGGGGTGGGGGTGGGGGGAGACCAGTCCCAGGCCCCTGTGGGGCAGTGTGTCTTCCTTCCTTCCTTCCTTCCTTCCTTCCTTCCTTCCTTCCTTCCTTCCTTCCTTCCTTCCTTTCATTTTATTTTGAATAATGAATGGAATAGCTGTAATATTTAATAAAATCAATAAAGATATGGGGAGGGGAGACAAGTCCCAGGCCCCTGTGGGGCAGTGTGAGGAGGCACCTCTCTTTGGGGTGGGGGGGGGCAGCTCAGAGACCAGGGGTGGCAGCAGCAGCATCTGCCCAGAGGACTCCCAAGGAGAGGAGGCTGAGGGAACCCCTCTGGATTATGTCATCCTGGGAAGAGCTGAGGGTAAAGCCTGGGAAATGGCATTAGCCATGATGGCTGCATTCTACCTCCTCTGTTGGAGGTGATGTGCCTCTGCCAGTCGCTGAGGATTCACAAGCACTTGTGTTCTGCATGCAGGCTTCCCATAGGCATCTAACTGGCCAGTGTGGGAACAGAATGCTGCAGTAAATGGGCTATTGGCCTGGTCCAGCAGGCTCTTCTCATGTACAGTGGTACCTGGGGTTAAGAACTTAATTCGTTCTGGAGGTCCTTTCTTAACCTGAATCTATTCTTAACCTGAGGTACCACTTTAGCTAATGGGGCCTCCTGCTGCGCCACCAGCGCACGATTTCTGTTCTTATCCTGAAGCAAAGTTCTTAACCCGAGGTACTATTTCTGGGTTAGTGGAGTCTGCAACCTGAAGCGTTTGTAACCTGAAGCGTATGTAACCCAAGGTACCACTGTATATCCCCATATCGTTACTAAAATGAGCAGACTCTGTCATGATGGGGCTCCATTGTTTGGGTCCAAAAGGTGGAGGGTATCTTGGCTTCGGTTTTAATTCGTCACTGAGATAGCAATAAAGATGTCACCCACGTAGTCCCATGCGCTGTGCTGCCATCAGGGGACCAGTGGCTTCCATACAAATGCTTCAAGACTAGGGTGGCAATATCTGTCAATTCTTTTTCTGACTGCAATAGCAAACAGAGCTTGCTCTTCCTTACTTCTATAGGTGGTCTGGGCAAGTAGTGAGCGTATGGGCTGTGGGACGGTGTTCTGCGAAACCCTGGAATTCCTGAATGACACCGACATGCATTTGGTAGTCTGCAATTATCAGCCACCGTAAGTTTCATTTTGTTGGGGCCGGGGTGTTTTTTCCTGAGTTTTTTTTGCCTGGCTGGAATGTGTGCTTTGAACCATGTTGATTCTTCCTGCTTGTGCAGTTGCTGCAATTTATTTTCAACTGTTTTTTATGTTTTATTTTACATTGCTGTGAGCCGCCCTGAGCTCTTCTGGTGAAGGATGGGTGGGTGGTAATACTGCTAATAAGGCATAGTACCATATTTCCCAAAACTATGGCTGTGGCAAGAGAGTGCCCCCCTTGGTCTTAGCAGATAGGGAGGTCTGTTATGGGAGAAGGCATTTCACCAAGTGTCCACAGATCCTAAGCCATGTAGGGTTTTAAATATCACTACAAGCACTATGGGTGTGTGTGGGGGGGAGAAATTCAATCCAGTTTGCATTTACAAGTGAATCTCCCTAACCCAAACCCAGATGCCTTTTGTAATTTGCAGTTCTCCTAATTTTGCAATGCAGTTTACAGCCAAGTAATGGACAAACTGAGGTTAAGTGTACATAAAAATGCATATTTTAGTGAAAATAGCATATTATAGAAGGGAAAGTTGCTTTACAAAAATGTGTACATTGAGCAAATTTAATAATGTGTGGGTGGCGCTGTGTGTTAAACCACAGAGCCTAGGACCTGCCAATCAGAAGGTCAGTAGTTCGAATCCCCGTGATGGGGTGAGCTCCCATTGCTCAGTCCCTGCTCCTGCCAACCTAGCAGTTCGAAAGCACGTCAAAGTGCAAGTAGATAAATAGGTACCGCTCCAGCGGGAAGGTAAACAGCATTTCTGTGCACTGCTCTAGTTCGCCAGAAGCAGCTTAGTCATGCTGGCCACATGACCCAGAAGCAGTACGCCGGCTCCCTCAGCCAATAAAGTGAGATGAGCGCCGCAACCCCAGAGTCGGTCACGACTGGACCTAACGGTCAGGCGTCCCTTTACCTTTTACTTTACATTAGGAGAAATGCTCATGAGGACTTGTTTTTTTTGTGTGTGGTGGTGGGGGGAATCACAAGCTGATATGGAAGTGTGAAGGACTGATGAGGAGGAAAATGAGAAACTGAGAAAAACTGAAACTGACAGATTCATCTGTTCCCCCCTCCACCCAAAGCACAGTAGCATATTGACAGTCAGTACAACTCCTTCAGAACTGTTGCATTATGTTCTTGGCAGCTTGGCTGCAGAGTTTTGCTGTTCTCTCATCATTGGGGGGGGGAGGGGTCATAGAATTTATTGTGAACAAGGAACTGTAGCAATGATAGTCCAAGTGGAGCCTTCCAGTTATTCCACTCCCATCAAGACCAGGCAGCATGGTAAGAGATTATGAGGGCTGCTGCCCATCATTATCTGGAGTAGGTTAAGTGGGCACCATAATAGCAATAGTTACAGATCAAGGTAGCGAACAGCTACTTGGATTTCATTGTGTGTACTTCTGACAGGAGTTAATAGGTACTGTAATATACAAGATAATGAAGATCCACTTCAGGAGTCAGCCTTAGTTAAACTGCAGTTACTCTTGGCACCAGGTTTTTGTATTAATTCCAGGATTTACAGAGCTGTGATGCTGCTGTTTCTGAAAATGGGGTCAAATTGGTCGGTATGTTCCTGATGAACTTTGTCTTCTCTCTGCCTTCCTTTACCTCATTTTAAAATGGCAACTTCCAATCATCTTCATAAAGTCTACTGGCTGTAGAATCCAGGACAAAAGAGCCACAAACAGGCACCAAATAGTTGATGCCTTTTGGCAGTCCCTCAAAGCATCCTCTTTAGCTGAGCTGGCCACCTTCCATCTTCCGAGTGAAGCTGGGAAGGTAGTTACATGCTGGAGAGATGAACTCTTGGCAAAAGCCATCAATGGTGATCATAGAGTGTTCTTAGGTGCAGCTGTCAATGTGAGAGAGCAACAAAATGTTATGAAATTCTTATTTCTATTGTGTCAATGCTCTCCTTCCTTAGGGGAAAGGCCTAGTCCTTTTTTGAGTAACGCCTGGGACTTTTCACTTCCAGGGGGAACATAAAGGGACGCAAACCGTACAAGGAAGGGGCTCCATGTTCCATGTGCCCAGATGGCTATTCCTGTAAGGACTCTCTCTGTGGTAAGTGAGTGGAACTAGAGGAGCCAGCAGATAAGGTGGAGAGCTCCTTATCTGCACCCCAAATTAATGCCACTCAGGATTAAAGGTAAAGGTAAAGGTACCCCTGCCTGTACGGGCCAGTCTTGACAGACTCTAGGGTTGTGCGCCCATCTCACTCTATAGGCCGGGAGCCAGCGCTGTCCGGAGACACTTCCGGGTCACATGGCCAGCGTGACAAAGCTGCATCTGGCGAGCCAGCGCAGCACACGGAACGCCGTTTACCTTCCCGCTAGAAAGCGGTCCCTATTTATCTACTTGCACCTGGGGGTGCTTTCGAACTGCTAGGTTGGCAGGCGCTGGGACCGAGCAACGGGAGTGCACCCCGCCGCGGGGATTCGAACCGCCGACCTTTTGATCGGCAAGTCCTAGACGCTGAGGCTTTTACCCACAGCGCCACCCGCGTCCCCTTGCCACTCAGGATTACCGTGAAATAAATTTCCACTGGCTGACAGGTGCAGATTATCCAGCCGCCTAGGAGTGTAGTGATTTCCTTGGCTGCCTTCACCCAATGATTATCCTTGTCAAAGCTGTTCTCCAACAGAAGTAAATTCCTTCTTCCCTCTTGTTTTGCTGCTTTGCCAAGGATGAAAACACCTGTCTCCTGCCTTCAGTGCACCACCATTATACACAAGGACCTGCCAGCATTAATCCCCTTCCTCTCCCAAGGTGATGACAGTGTGTTTAAAATATGCTAGCTTCTCTTGTCCTTACCATAGCACCAGGAAGTGGCACTTTGGCTTATGTGAATTCCTGCAGCACACACACCTTGAGTCTATGCACGCTAGAGGTCTTAGCCCTTATTGGTCCCCAGATGGATGGTTATGTCGCTCCATGCAAACATAGGCCATGTACTGCACCTTTAAAGCACATTTGGAACAGATTCTTTCCCTCAAAGAATTCTGGGCATTGAAGTTTACGAATTGGCCATTGGCTGCCCCCTAATGCTGCTCCATCTGAAACAGACCTCCTCACCCTAATAGTAGGGATGGCACTGCAAGCCATGACATTCCTTTCATGCATTCTGTCTCCGCTTGGGGTGTCTTATGTCTTGAGTGCTATGCTATATGGCATTTCACTGAGTTCTGCCCAAGATGTTTTTGCACCTTTGGGAGAAAATTCAAATGACATTCCAGTCCAAGTTGTGAAGAAATGGGTGGCAATGTGCTGCCCTTTAACGGCATCTGGAATCTGCTGCCTGTGACCCTGGCCACACTCGGTTTCAAAGTAGGGCTCACCTTCTGTACAAAAGTGAAATATCAGCCTTCCGTTCTCACTGGTTTTCTGGGAGGAGGGTGTGGCTTTGTGCATCTGTTTGCTGATTGTTCTGCTGGTCTCTCTTTCCCCCCACCAGAATCCAGTGTTGACATGGGAGACGCCACCGCATCTCCTAAGCCGGAGCCAACGGCTGTCTTGACTGCAAGCCCAGCTCTGCAAACCACACCAGATTCAGCACCTGATACGCCAGACAGTCCCCAAACAGGAGCAGAATCTGAATCCCCAACAGCTGAAGGGCCAACCTCTTCGCTAGAGCTAACTTCAGACTTGTCAAACTCAGATGCAACAGTTTCCTCTTTGGTGACAATGGGAGCTACAACTCTTCGTCCTGCCTCCCCAGAATCAAGAACTGAAAAAGCCACTTCCGCAGAATTTCCTTTGTCTGGTGGCTTAGCCACACCTGAAGCCACCATTAAAAAACCCGAGCCACCTTCAACTCCCCCTACACCAGTGCATTCTACCCCCAAGTCACCCTTGGTCCCTAAACCTGCATCCATCCCTAAACCTCCATCGACAGGTAAACCTCCCTCCATGCCCAAACCCCTTTCAGCCCATAAGCATCCCTTCTTCTCCAAGCTACCCGTCCCAAAGAAGCCTCCCGTCTCTAAAACACCTGCACGCCATCGCTTGTCAGCTTACTCCAAAGCAATAAACAAGCACAGCAATGCTGCTCAGGCCTCTGCAGATAAGGTACCTGTTCACAACACTGCAGCTAAGGCAGCTTCAATCTCTGTCTGCCTGCCTTGCCTTGGATGCAAACAGATTAGCCACCCTGAAGAAATAAAGACTGCACTTAAAGAGCTGACTTCCAGGTACCCCTATGCTCCGTGCTTTTCCCCGCTTCCCCGGTGGCAGAGGCATAGCAACTGGGGCAATACACTTAGGAAGGCCAGGCCTTATTGGCTCAACAGTTTATAGCAGTATTTGATCCAACCTATTTATAGGCTGAGCCCTCTGTCTTCCCTTTCCCTTTCTGCCCTTTTAGTGAGTTTGCCAGTCTGCTGGGAATAGCACTGTAGCATGGCCAGTGGCTGAAAATTCTGTAGATGGTGGTACAAATCTTGCCCAAGCAATAAAGCTCTTGGGAGGTTGCAGTTTATTTCCACAACCCCCTGTTTTCACCCATTCAGGAATGTGGAGCACATCTGATTTCTTTCCCTACTTTCCTTCTCTTTAAGCTTTGCTAGGGTCAAGCATGGCGTACTGTCATGAGGCCTCATTCCACCCAATGACTCACCTGTGATCATCCTCCCTCTTGTCTGTGCTCTGTGCACCACAAATGGGGGCCCTATTTATTTGCCGGACTGTGCCTGGAAGTCATTCCCAGGCTTCCCATTCTGCTTGTGAATTTGTGACAAGGTGTCTGCATTCTCCACTGGCAACCCATTCTTTACCCCAAAATGCCGATAAAAACCTGGATCTTGAAAACCTGGATAATGTAAAAAACCTGGATCTTGAAAGCTGAACAAATTGTGCAAGATAAGCCAAGGCCTGCACACCTACTGAATTCCTTTAGCTGATCCCAAAACATGAATTTGTGCTCCCTTGGTACAGACTCTGGAGCTTTGTGGCTCAGAATACAAACAGTAGTGTTGATCAAAGAATTGGTTGTGCCCCCCTGAAATGTAAAGCAAACTGATATGGCTTGTTTGTAAGGAGGATGGAGAGAAAATGAATGACTGATTAGGGAGAGTGATGTAAATCTCTATAGAAACTCAGTGCACAAGAGCTACATTAAGCAATCAATAAATGAAGTGCAAGTGGACCAAATATTTGCATGTGAAAGTGAAGCGAGTGCCTCTGTGAGTGTTTGCATTTGTAGCTCTTCAACTCTGTTCATTACAGTAGATCTTTCTTCCATTGGAACTCTACAAACCACAATATTTTGATCAGGCAGCATTATTAAGGCTCATTCACCTCTTCTGTGCCATATGGGTATCTAAACTTTAGCCCCCTCTCTTCACCATTGTCTCCACTCCTTCTACCACCTGACAGGGACATAGGAAACTATAAACCAAATCAGCTTATTGGTCCATCTAGCTCAGTATCGTTTACACTGACTGGCATCGGCTCTCCAGATCTCCAGATTTTGGGGTGCATTCCCAGCCCTACCTGGAGATGTGCTCGGATTGAGTTTGGGACCTCCATGCAAACCAGATGCTCTACCACTGAGCTGTGGCCCTTGCACTTCAGAGGACTTGTTTGACTAGGCCCGCTTGCATATCAGAGATATGTATTAGACTGGACCCCCCACGATAGCTGCATTTTGAGCTTAGCACATGTGTTTTGGTAGCATGCTGCATCCCTTCCTGTTTCTGTTGCACGGAACCAGGGCAGGTTCCTCTTCTCTTCAGCTGACTCCTCTCTTACATTTTTTCAAAGCACAACCAGGTGCTAAAGATACCAAAGATCTGCTGACAGACCCACCCAGGAAAGATTCTGAGCAGCCCACACCTTCAGGCAGCAGCCCTTTTTGCCTTTCTGCTTTCCATTCCTGAGTACTCCCGTTCTGATAAGCCTTCTCCTTTGACACTTGCCTCATAAGAATATTTGCTCCCCATCTCCATTCTCCTATGCTACTTGTGGTTTGTTTCTTCATCTTGCTGTGTTTGGGGTGCATGAAAGACAAAGGTGAAACTCTCCCCCTGTTTCTTGCTCCCCCTGGCCTCTGTGGCCATTCCGGTTAGATTAGAAACATAGGAAGCTGCCCTTTATCAGGTCAAGTCACCTAGCCCAGAATTGTGACTGGCAAGGGTCCACAGACAGAAGTATTTCCTATCACCTGCTAACTGATTCTTTAAAAGAAGGAAATGAGAGAAGATGCCAGGACAGAGCCTGAAATTTTCTGCATGCAAAGCATGTGATGTACTCTAAGGTCCCTCTCAATAGATGAGCTTGGATAGCTCAGTTGGTTAGACCATGGTGCTGATAACACCAAGGTTGCAGGTTCGATCCCTGTTCCTGCATTGCAGGGGGTTGGACTAGATGATCCTCAGGGTCCCTTCCAACTCTACAGTTCTATGATTCTATGAATAAAAAGGCCTGGAGAGTCTAACAGAGCTCCTACTTCTTGGCATCCAGCCTCAGGTGTGATGGTATGGTTCTTTGTGGGTGTGTAAATGAAGGAGGAGAGATCATTTGAATGAGTCTGATTCACAAAGCCATTTTTATCATTTGCTACAACTGGATGAAACATGATGGTGTGAGATGCCTCTTGGAGCTCAGCTAATAACTGACCGAGCTTTCTTATCATGTGACTGTTGTACAATACGCAAAAGTATATTGCTTGATAACTGACTAGCATCTCAGCCAGGTATGTGAATATGCCTTCAACTTATCACCAAGTTCAACCTGAAACTACTTGACAATACTGGAATGCTATTGTATGCATGTTTGGTTGGATGACGATTCCACTCATTTCAACTGAGCTCACTTTCCGAGTAACTGGGCTTAGAACTGCAACTCTGCATCCCACCTAATGGTGTGCATAGCTACAGGGGTACACAGAGCAACTTAAGCTGTCATAGCTACAGGAGCCAGTCTTTGCTTAGTCTGGCCCACAGTATTTGCAGCTCCCTAAAGCAGAGGTGGTGAACCTGTGACTTTTCCGATGTTGCTGGACTCCAACTCCCATCAGCCCCAGGCAGTGTAGTAAAATTTGCAGGATTGTACATCAGAACTTGCGCCCAGTTTACTGCATCTTTGCTACTTCCCTGGGTGGAATCCAGTGTAGTGCTAATGTCCTCATCCTCTTAGCACAAGGATTTCCACTTGCATAATGGGATTTCGCCCCCTCTTCTACCTGTGTGCCCCCTGTTCTGGGGCTTCTCCTGACCCTCCGCAGCAGTTTGGGGGAGGGTGTGGGACATGCATGGGGAGAAGAGCAGGAAAGCTCCATTGCACAAGTAGAAATCCTAGTGCTGATGGAACGAGGCAGTTGGATACCACCCCGGTATGGGGCCACACCACCTCCAAAGATCTGCGATCATGTGCTGCTCCTGCAGCCATTCAATATCCCATCCTTTACACCAGGTTAGCCAGTGGTGTGGTTCATAGGAGTGAGACCAAGGGACCAAGAATGTGTTAGTTCACTTCTTTCCTGTAATTCTGCAGGCAGTGAACTGTACTGCTGTCTCCAATCTGAGAGCAATAAGACAAAGTTCTCCAGTATCCATGTGGAGCTGGCACTTTCCAGTTGTATCTAAGGAAGGCCTAGCAAGGCAGCCTTGGGGAACCTGTGGTCCCACAACTCTCCCCAATCCCAGCCAGTATGGCTGATGTTCAGAGATGTGGGAAGCTGTAGTCCACTGACATCTGGAGGATCATGGGTTAGGTTCCTTCTCTTAGCAAGGGCTGACTCTTAGTTTGAAGGAATGGCTGAAACATTGCACATCCCAGTTCTTTCATACAGGTCTGGCGTAGATCAGCTCTAAAGATCAGCTCATCAGTTTTGCCTTGCCTGTTGGGCACATTCCATGTCACCCAGCAAAACAAGATGTGTTGGTTTCCAAAACACCTTGTGGGGCGGCTGCAGTATTTTAGATGGATTTCTCAAATTAGGGATATATTTAAAGTGAGATGCCAACCATACACCTTGCCAAAGCAGATGATACTGGCTCTAGCCAATGAAGAACGGAGACCAAATTGCTGGACAATTAGGTTCATTGCACGCCACATCCAGGCATTCTTCCCCCCCCCCTGTATTGCTGAATGGTTCTTGCATTATACTAACCTCATCATGACAAGCCACAGCTGGCCTAGCTAAGATCCAGTTGAAGGTGCTACTTGAAACAGAGGTCAGCAAATGTGGTGTTCTTTGCTAACAAGAGTTGTGAAGACGGGATGAATTTTGAAATGGTGCAATGAAGTAACATTGTGAGGTGTGTCTTTTAATGCACCTGGAAAATCCTGCTATTAATAAATGTTCTTCTAAAAACCATTGGTCTGGAAAATGCACTGTTTTTGCTGGATGGTTGCTGGATTCTCTTGTGGATATATTGCTAGAGCTGTTTTGAAAAGGAGGGTTTGAGCTAGGAAGCAAGTGGAGTTGCCTGCCCTGCTGAAGGCACCTGAGAAGCGGAGAGTAGCTTGTCTACTAGTGCAAGCGACTCAACAGGTGTATAGGCCACAGATCAAGGAATGGTATGTAGCGTTTCCCATATTAACTAGCATCCTGGCCTCAGAGAAATGGGATAGTCAGGATTTCCTTACTGAAAAATATAGGCTCAGGACTATCTTTCCATCATTTGATCAATTGAGAGGTAAGGAAAGCATGGACACTTAATCCCATTCTGCAACCCAGCAGAAAGGAAGAATAATGAAGGCAGAAATCCTGTTCACACTTACTGTATATGGGAATAAAAAGGTAAAGGTACCCCTGCCCGTACGGGCCAGTCTTGCCAGACTCTAGGGTTGTGCGCTCATCTCACTCTATAGGCCGGGAGCCAGTGCTGTCCGCAGACACTTCCGGGTCACGTGGCCAGCGTGACATCGCTGCTCTGGCGAGCCAGAGCCGCACACGGAAACACCGTTTACCTTCCCGCTAGTAAGCGGTCCCTATTTATCTACTTGCACCCGGGGGTGCTTTCGAACTGCTAGGTTGGCAGGCGCTGGGACCGAACGACAGGAGCGCACCCCGCCGCAGGGATTCGAACCGCCGACCTTTCGATCTGCAAGTCCTAGGTGCTGAGGCTTTAACCCACAGCGCCACCTGCGTCCCTTATATGGGAATAAGTCTCATTAAACACAGTGGGACTTGCTTCTTAGTAAACACGCAGAGGATCGTGCTGCCAGTATAAAGTGTGTTTTTTAGTTTTGGCTGAACTTTACACGAGAAGTAATTATTGTTGCAGAAGTGCAAAAGCTACAAAGTTAGGGAAATTTCAGTGATTATTGTAATGCTTAAACAATAGTGAAACTGTGGCATCTGCGCACTCTAAATTCCATCGAACAATGGTGTTGAATGTGCACTCTTGTGCACTCTTGTGTCATTATGGTTTGCATGGCATTTCAGCAAAACCATGCCCAAAATGGGCATTTCCTGAGTTTAGAGTCTGGTTAATTTGCATTAAAGTATGCAGAGTGCTTCTTTCATTAATATCTGTACAGTAATGCAGCAGTTGCATAATGACGAGCTAAGGTTTTTTGAGGTCACATCTTCCCACCAGCTGTTCTAACTTCTAGCCAGTAGATGGCACTGATGAAGGCTGACTGTATTTTTAAACGGTTTTTAAAAAGAAGAGGAAAAGCAACACAGATCTTTGAGCAGCACCGAACAGACAGCAAGCCTGTTTCTGGCACAGATCTACAGAGACTTTAACTTCTTTAATTAATCAGGAAACTCACTTGTATTTAAGCATCAAATCAAAAGTAATGTCTTCTCACACTTGTGCTCCCACAAGCTGAAAGGAGCGTAATCTTGATGGTTAATAGGATTTAAGACCTACTGATCCTTCTCTCTTGTAATAACCATTAAACAACACAAACACACACCTAAAAGTGGGTTGTGCTGTGAGTATGGCATGTGCTAAAATGCTCGGTTTGCTACGTGTGCTTTAGTTGAATGCTACGCAGATGCCATTCAACATGCAGATTTGGACATGTGAATTACAAATACATACTTTTGCCTTCCCCCCTTTTTTTCTTTTGTAGAACTATTGCACCTGCTGCAGATGGATGCTGGTGATGACTGGTTAATGGTCTGCTAGGCATCACCAATATGGTGACAAAAACAAGGGTGGGGAATTTGTGGCCCACTATATGTGTTGGGAGACGCGGGTGGTGCTGTGGGTTAAACCACAGAGCCTAGGACTTGCCGATCAGAAGGTCAGCGGTTCGAATCCCCGCGACAGGGCGAGCTCCCGTTGCTTGGTCCCTGCTCCTGCCAACCTAGCAGTTCGAAAGCACGTCAAAGTGCAAGTAGATAAATAGGTACCGCTCCAGCAGGAAGGTAAACGACGTTTCTGTGCGCTGCTGTGGTTCGCCAGAAGCGGCTTAGTCATGCTGGCCACATGACCCGGAAGCTGTACGCCGGCTCCCTTGGCCAATAAAGTGAGATGAGCGCCGCAGCCCTAGAGTCGGTCACGACTGGACCTAATGGTCAGGGGTCCCTTTACCTTTACCTTTAGATGTGTTGGACTTCAACTCCCATCAGCCCCAGGCATGGCCAGTGGCCAGGGATGATGGGAACAGGAATCAGAGCAATACAGTTGCCATACATCCAGATTTTCCCGGACATACCTGGAATGCTGTAGTCGGCAGCAGTGTCCGGGTGGAAATCAGGAAAGTGTCCAGGGAAATCCGTATGGCAGCCCATGTTGGCAGTGCTATTTGTTTTGCCCTTTTCCCATCAAAATAGCTCAAAAACAGTATTTTATTTTTATTTTTTTGATTTTGCCCACAAAGCTCAACAACTTTGGGCAAAGCTTTAAAAAGCTCAAGAAATTTTCTGTGCGGATTTTCACCATTTGAAATATGGCAACCCTACACAACAACATCCAAAGAGATATCAGGCACAAGCTAATCGCTTTTAAAAGATGTATCAAATACCTTTTGCTTTTCTCTTCCCAATCAGTATATACACCATATTTGGGTGTAACAATAAATCATCATTATTACCATTTATAAGGGTTCATTGCTTCAGAAATAAGACTAGGTGAGCCTTGGGCTCCCATCTGCCCTGAATCATCCACTAATGTGGCCAAAAGGAGCATTTGGGATGTTTTCACATCTATTTTAACAAGGGTAGGGAACCTGTGGCCCTTTATATATTCTCAACCTCAACTCATTGGCCATGGTGGCTGGTGCTGGAGATGTAGACCAGCAACCTCTTGGCAGATGAAGGTGATGGACTATATGGAACTGGCGGAAATGACCGGCAGAATCCGAGACCAGGGAGAAGAGTCGGTGGAAGAAGATTGGAAGAAATTTAAAGACTATCTACAGAAATACTGCAAAATTAATGAATGTTAGAATGATGTTGGATTGAAGTTAAGTGGTTTTTAGCAGTAATGTTATAAAGGAATGTGCAAAAATGGATTGTTAACAGGTGATAATCTAAATTATAATATATTAAGATTAAAGATTAGGATTAAAAAAAAGAGGGAAAAGATTTGCTGAACCAACTAATTGAACTGGAATACAAAAAAGGGAGGTGTGAGGAGGTCTGGGGAACAAGCAAATGAAAGATAAGATACGGAAAGATTGAATTGTTTTTAACTGTTTTTACTTTGTATTTTTTCTTTTTCTTTTTTCTTTTTGTAACATTTTGAAAACTTTCATAAATATCTTTTAAAAAAAAAAAAAGAAGAGATGTAGACCAGCAACCTCTTGAGGGCACCAGGTTGGGGAAGGCTGCTGCAACATTTTGAAAGGAAACCACAGGCCCTTATATATATATATTCTACCACCAGAACACTAGCCAATACAGACTGAGAGGATTGAAGCAGAGAAGCATATTAAAGCTTTTTTAATCACAACATCAACCTGTCTGGTTCAGTACAGCCAGCTCAGCCTGGCAGTGGCTTACTCTCAAAGACTTGCGGGCAAGGTCTTTTTCAGCATCTGAGGTTCTTTTTTCACTGGAAGCGTCACAGGGGTCAGCAACCCTTTTCAGCAGGGGGCCGGTCCACTGTCCCTCAAACCATGTGTGGGAATGGATTATATATATATATATATATTTTTGGGGGGGAGTGAACGAATTCCTATGCCCCACAAATAAGCCAGAGATGCATTTTAAATAAAAGGACACATTCTACTCCTGTAAAAATATGCTGATTCCCGGACCGTCCACGGGCCGGATTTAGAAGGCGATTGGGCTGGATCCGGCCCCCGGGCCTTAGGTTGCCTACCCCTGCGTCAGGGGTTGAGCCCAGGAAATTTTGCATGCAAAGATTCTACTGATGAATGTTGGCTTTCTCCCTACAACTCCCATCAGCCCCAGACAACATGATGGGAGTTATAGTCCAAAATGTCCAGAGGGCCCCAGGTTATTGAATGCTGCACCACAGTCCAAATGCTGTTGCATGAATCCATTTTTTTAAAAGGTGCTTGTGGTTGTTGTTTTTTTGTCAGATCACTGTTCTTTTCAAGATTTTGAAACACTTGAGATTGACAATGTGAAAAGCAGGTGCCACATTGTTTGTTTCAGATGAGCCATGAGTCTGGTCAGGCTCCCCAATGCAGGAACAGCTGATCCCAGCTTCTTGAGCAAGGAGGAGAAGGAGAAGGAGTTTGGATTTGATATCCGGCTTTATCACTACCCGAGGGAGTCTCAAAGTGGCTAACATTCTCCTTTCCCTTCCCCCCCGCAGCAAACACTCTGCGAGGTGAGTGAGGCTGAGAAACTTCAGAGAAGTGTGACTAGCCCAAGGTCACCCAGCAGCTGCATGTGGAGGAGTGGAGACGCGAACCTGGTTCACCAGATTACGAGTCTACCACTCTTAACCACTACACCACACTGGCTCTATTCTTGCTTAGCTCCCCTTTATCACACACACAGCCCAACAAGACAATGACAAAAATCCATCAACAGCATACAAATCAATATGGCTAACCTGATCCAAAACACCCATCCCACTCACACATGAAAACAAAGACCACCACAGCCAACCACAAATGAACAACCACACCCTAGGCCAACCCCAACCTCTCTCACCACCAAAGGAACACAAGTGAACAACAAAGAACCTGCACAAGCAAACCCTACATATAGTAAGTAAAACATTGTCACCCGACCCAACCCCCACCCATCTTTCCCTCCCTCCACCTCTTTCCCCCTTTTCTTCCTAATGTCTCAACAAATGAAACTGATTTGTAAAAATGTTACATGGGGGGAAAAATACGAAAGAGACATTGCAAACACTTTTGTAAATCAAGAAAACCTTTAATAAAAACAAAAAACA